AGAAAGGGCAAATGACTTTCCCAAGCTATGTTGGTTCACAGTCCGGCCTGAGGCTGCTGGGAGGGGAGCACCTCCAGGGACACCCGGAGAAGTCTGTGCCACAGGACTTCTTGGCTATCAGACACCTGGGTACCAGTTTGGTCCCACCCCTCAGCCCTCTGCTGAAATCTCAGAGTTAGAGCAGGGCCTACAATCCACCGCCCGAAGAACCCACTGGCCTGTTTCCCTGTGGGCAGTTTCCCATGGACACCTCCAAGGGCAAAGAACGCACTGCCCCTGCAGTGCATGTTGTAGTCAGACAGCTGGCTGCTGGGAATTCCTTCCTTCCGCTGAGCGGCCCGTGGTTTCCTCTTACCCTGTGGTCTTGGTTCCTTCCAGTGACCCAATACAGGGCCGATTCGATACCCTGTCTTCTCAACAGCTTCACAACAGCGGGAGGCAAAGCCTGCCGCTCTCTTGATTGCTCCTCTCATGACATTGTCTTGGAATCTGCAACTGGATTGCAGCCGTGGTGGGCAGCCCCGAGGCTGAAGCCCTCCCGGCCTTGTATCTCCTGTGTGGCTTGGCCCAAATCACCAAACCTCTCTGAACTTCAGTTTGCTCGTGGGAAATAAGGGGAGACCGTGATTAAGTACCCCAAGCCTCCAATGATACACTGTAACTGGCTGACTCCAGCATCTGGCTCAGGAAGCGCTCATCTCGGGGAACAATGCAGCCTCGCTTTCAACCTCAAAGGCACCCAGAGCTTCTGGGTCTCACCTCTGCCTTGGTTGCTTATATTCCGTCTGACGCGGCAGCTCCCGCGTGATTAGAGGTCGCCTTCTGGACCATCAGAAATGTTTTTTGGGAGATCTGCGATTCCAGGGAGAGATGATAACCGTGTGAAAGTCACAAGGCTCAGGCCCCCACCCCCACCCCGCAAAGTTCCGACTGACCCTTTTCTTTCCTGCATTGCAAATCCACAAAAGCCTCCCCAGCTGCCCAGCGAGGTGACCCCTTCAGGCCTGACCCACCGACCGACTGCATTGGCATCTCTCAGGCAATTGTCTGTCCTGGAGCCCTTGGGATGCTTTTGAAGCTCAGCGGAGTGAAGCGTGTTCCAAGGGAGTGGGACCGTGATTCACTAAAGCTGCCTCAGGCTCCTCTCGGCAAAGCCATTCAGTGGGGTGCAGAGCTGGGTGAGCCCTTCTGCTGGCTTTGCTCATGGGTGTTCAGAGAGCTAGCAGCACCCCAGTGGAAACACTAAACCCAAGGGTGGTCCCCCCAAAGGCGGAGAGGTCAGGCTGTGTGTCTTGCCTGTCCTCTGGCTGTCCTCTAAGCTTCCAGGTCACCTGAGGAAGGAATCCATCTTGCCCTTTCCTGGTCCTCTGCAAGACTTCTGTGTCATTTCTCCCTAGCTTTGTCTTAGTGTCTTTGCCTATTCGGTGCACAGGATTGAGCCCGGGGACCCATGCATGATAAGCAAGGGCTCTGCCACTGAGCTATCCCCAGCCCGATGTCCTAGCTCAGGGTCTAACCCAGGGCCTCAAGCACACCAGACAGACGCTCTGCCATGGGCTGTGTCCTCAGCACCACCCTCCCCCATGTTGAGACATAGTCTAGATTGCCCTAGTTAAATTTGCTATCCTCCTGGATTACAGGTGTGTGACACTATGCCTCGTTCATTTTAGCTTGTTAAGAACAAAATTCAAGGATGTTTTCTCCCTGCAAAACTCCACATCAATCATCAACTGACTTTTCGCTATGAACAGGTACAGGATGGACCAGTTCTGAGCTTGTCCTCAAGAACTGGGGCCCACGGGGAGCAGAGCAAAGCTGGATGTTGGATCCAAGGGGTGTCGGCAGTGTTGTGGTGGAGACAGTCTTTAAAGCCTGGAGCTGAATCCTGGCTCTGTCCCGTGCTGGCTGTGTGAGGTGCATACGTCACACAATCTCTCCAAGTCACGGTTTCCTGCTGGAGAAGTCACATAACTGCTAACACGGTACCCAGGACTTAAGGCAGATAAGCAGAAGAAGGCAGGTTTAGTCCATCTTTCCTTTATGTATTCACCCAGGTACTTCTACCAGACTGCAGCCGGAGAGCAGGTGACAAATTCATTATTAGGACACTGGCTTGGCTGCTGCAATGAAGTGGTTATTCCTCTCACATGCAGCCATTCATTTATACACGACATGGCAGACATGGCAGCTCGACCCCCAAGGGCACCCAGATTCCCTCTTTGTAGCTGTTCTGCCACCCTGACTCACAACTTCTATCTCAGGGCCTGAGGCGGCTGCACCGGCTCCTGCCATTGGGTTCACATTCCAGCCAGTAGGAAGGAGGCCAGGTAGCAGATGGCTCATTTTTCCCTATAAGGGCATGACCAGGCAATGGCATACATCAGTCCATCTGAGGGCTCCAGGTCCCTGGCCACTGGCCGGTACTTCATGACATGGTCCCAGCTAGCTTGGAGGGAGGCCAGGAAATGTCTCAGTGACTCTTCTTAAGGGTGAGACTTTGTCATCACCCCCCGAGCACACTTTGAGGTGTCAGGAGCTATTTTTTGGTTTTGAAGAGAATGGTTGGGGATGAGAGCCAGGACACTGCTGAGGATCTGAGAGTGTGTGGGACAGTCACTCCTGAGAAAGATCATCCAGCCCCAAGTGTCAGTCCTCCCCAGGTTGGGAATGCCCACTGCCATTGGGCAGCCGGAACTCAGGAGCTCTCTCACACAATGACACAGGGGACCGCTAGCGATTCTGGCCTTAGTTGCATACAAATATGAGAGCTGAGTGGTTGCAGAGGAATTAAAATGCTATCTTTTCCCAGGGTTCTCTCTTCCCCAGCAGGGATCAAAGCTTTAAATCAACAGGACTTTGTGGACTATTGAGAATTATCTCATAAGACGGAGGATTGTGGATGGGGAGTCTGAAATCTCACCCCCGGGGTGGGCCACCCGGGAGCCCAGGACCCACACGCCTCCCAGGGAGACGGGCTGCACGGATGGCTCCCCAGCCTGGCCCTCAGCGTGGTACTTTCCAGAACCAGCTCATGTCTGCTTGGTTCTGGTTCTCAAGAAGGTGAAACCAGGATAAAGCCAAAAGGAGGGCAAGAGAGAAGAGGCTAAGGGACTAAGCCACAATAAAACCAGCTGAGAGAGGAGCACCGATTTGGATCTATTCTTTTTAAAGAATTATCCAACAGCCCCCTGTCTAGCCCAGTGCCTCTCTCCCAGTGTGACCCGGCTGGACTTTCCTTAGCTAAGGTCTGGTGCATTCAAGTGGCTTCAGGCGTAGACCAGGCCCTGTCCCTCGCTGCAGAGGGCTGGGCATCTGCCACATTGCAAAGCTGTCCTTAGCACTTGGTGGATATTACTTCCTTTACTCTCTCCATCAACCCTGCGGAAAAGCTTCTGTTATCCTCCTTCCGCACAGGCTCAGATTTGCCCAAGGCCACACAGCTAGCAGGAGGCAGAGACAAGTTTCTGTCTGGGGAAGGCCTGTCCTTCCCAAGGCCACAGGAGGCTCTCCATCTCCAAGGAAGAGGATTCACCCAGCTCCGTCACTTGCTCCATTATCCCATCCCTCAGCAAGTATCAAGCCATGGATAAGTGCTGAAAGGACGGGGCGTCCCATCTACGTTCCAGCAAGGTGCTGGGAGACGGAAAGCGCAGAGTGGTGGAGGACGTGTTCAGTGCCACACAGCGAGTCAGAAAGTATCACCGCCATCTGCTCCCACAAATAACTGGTGTTGCAGGCCCCACTACCCTGAGGATTTTGCCAGGAGAGCTGAGGTGTAAATCTAGGGAAGACATCCTGGAAAGAAAAAAAACAAAACCTCCAGCGTCTCATAGCTGTGGGACTCCTGGGGAAGGCAGGGGGAAACCAGCGGGGGAGGAAAGGTTGTTTTTGCCAGTGTGAAGGAAGCAGCAGTGACCGGAAGCCACGCTCTGAATCCCCTGAGCAGCAATGGCTCCTTTTTAGATAGGGCTCCCTGGAGCCACAACCTCACCAGCACTGGTCAACAGGAAGCCGGCCCGGGAAGCATGTGCCGTCTCGCACGCGCACGCATTGCCAGGGGTGACTGCTGGGGGCCAGTGGGAACCAGAAACAAGGGGCTGGGCCACCAGACAGAAGGAGCCAAGCCCAGGGATGACCTTCACGCTTCAGGAAGGTGGTTGTGTGGAGCAGCCAGGACCTCAGATTTTCCCAGGCTGGGTCTACCACAGAGGGCCCTGAAATAGCTCTGAGGTTCTGTGCCCACGAAGCAGGGAGGGCAGGGGCAGGGACTGCGGGCAGCGGCAGCGAGCACAGCACCACTTTGTTGGGAAGGAAGGAGCTCTGCCTCCACCAGGCTCATCCACCTGCCGGCGATCAGCTGAGCAGAGGTGGCGGCTCTGGCCGTGCTCAGCAGAGGGGGTGATGACATTGGCTTGGCTGGGGACAATGGTGCAGGGACCTGAATCAGAGAGGAAAGGCCCAGGTAATCCAAATGGCATTCTGCAAAATAACAGCTGGCGCTCGAAAACTATAGGGCGCCATTACTCACAGTAGCCCCAAAGCAGAAACAACCCAGGTGTCCACCGAAAGAGGAACGGGCAAAAAGTAGGGTCCAGCCAGGCAGTGGATTATGATTCAGCCATGAAAAGGAAGTTCTGTTCCACCCTACAGCATGGATGAGCCTGAAAACATTGAGTAAAAGAAGTCAAACACGGGGCTGGGGATATAGCTCAGAGGCACAGTGCCTGCCTGGCAAGTGCAAGGTCCTGAGTTCGATTCCCAGCACTAAAAATAAAAGTCAGATATAAATGACCACAGAATGTACAACTCCACTTCTATGATTGGAATTTTAAAAATTCATGGCGAAAAAGTAAAAAAATAAATAAAATTCATAGCGATAAAGTGGATGAGTGATTTTCATGGTCAAGACTTGGGAAGTAACTGCCTGTGGGCAGGGTGTTTCTCCTGCAGATGATGAGAGTTTTCATGGATTAATAGTAATAACTGCCCAACTTTGTGAATATACTTAAAAACCACTGGATGATACCGTACATTTTATTTTATTGCTTTTAAGACAGGGTTTCACGGGGCTGGGGATTTAGCTCAGCAGCATAAGCACCTGCCTTGCAAGCAGGCAGTCATAAGTTCGATCCCTGGTACCGATAAAAAGGAAAAAGTAAAAAAAATAAATAAATAAAAAGACAGAGTTTCACTATGTACTTCACAAAGGCCTTGAACTCAATATGGAGCCCAGATTGGTTCTGAACTTGCAGTGATCCTCCTGCCTTAGCCTCCTGAGTTCTGGGGTTACAGGCGTGTGCCAACATTCCCAGCCTTTATTTATTTGTTTTTATTTATTTATTTATGACAGGGTCTCACTATGTAGCTCAGGCTAGCCTTGAATTTTCTGTGTATCCCAGGCTGACCTTGAACTCATGGCAATCCTCCTGCCTCAGCCTCCCATATTCTGAGATTATAGGTATATGCCACTATCCCCAGCCCTGTACATTTTGAAAAGACTGAATTTTATGGTATGAAAATTCTATCTCAATTTGAAAAGCTTAAAAATCATTGCATTTATACACTATTTGGTCCTTGATTAGACTCTATACTATAAAATCAGCTACAGGGGCTAGAGATTTAGCTCAGCAGCATAAGCACCTGCCTTGCAAGCACGCAGTTGTGAGTTTGGTCCCCAGTACCAAAAATAAAAAAAACCAAACAAACAAAAACAAAACAGCTTGAAAAACAGCTACAAAGGACATCAAGAAGAGTAACTGGAAGAATAGATGACAATATTGTCATAGAATTCAATATCCTGAGAGCAGACATTGTACCATTTACACTATGCCAGTGGTTCTCACAGTGGGTATCTAGGTTCCACCAGTTGTGCAGGAAGTAATACTAGAATGTCTGCCCCTATTTTTTTTCAGATGTGCCCAGTAATTCCTGGGTTTGCAGATTCTGCAGGGTGGCTATCTACAGCCATTACCACAGCCATCTCCCCTTGTGGCCTAATATTTTCCCAAACTCCTTTGCTACCAGGGAAGCCATGTGACTCAGTGCTGGCCAATGAGGTATCAGAGCACATTCACCAAAGGATTTCTGGGAAAAACAGGTTGCTTCTTAGAAAGAGGACAGGCAGCAGAGGACCACTTGCTGGGGGGAATGGCTGCACCTTCCCCTTGCTCCTAAAAAAAAGGCAGACACAGTATTAACACATGACTTTGGAAAAACATCCTGGGAAATAAATGCCAGTGCACTTGGATAATGGAGAACCTTCAGAAGCCAAAGAGAGCATGGTCCCTAGCGGCATCACAGAGTGAAGAACCAACCTCAAGCCTCCCACTTCACTTCCGAAACAGGAATTCTCAGTGTCTCAGAGGCTGAGACTTTCAGTCACTTGTAGTAACAGTGATAGAAATGAGTCTATCACTTTCAGGTCAGTAAAAGGCTGTCTATTGGCACCTGTGCTCAAAATCTTTACTGGTAAGGACTCACGTGACAGCAATCACAAAAGTCACAAAAATCAGGACCCATCATCTGCTTCCCTGCACCCTAAGTCAGGAGAGATTAAACTGGCTATAAACAACAGAAAAACATACAGTAGTGGCTGAAAAAGGATAGCAGTTTACTTCTCTCTTACAGAAAAAAGTCTGAGGGTAGAGAAACTGGGCTGGTGTGGGGACTCTGGTTAGCTGAAACTTAGACCCCTTCTAAATTTCTGCTGCATCTTTCATTCTCAAAGTCACTTTATTGTCCAAAGTAGCTGCCGAGCTCCAGCAATTACATCTGAACTCCACACAACGAGCCACGACCACAAGGGCTTGTCTTCCCCAACCTTTTAAGTAATTCTCCTCGAGTTTCTACTTACACATCACTGACTGCAAGTAAAACTTGAAATTTTTCTTTTGCCTCAACACAGTGAGGTTCTGTTGCTTAAGAAGTGGGTTGATTGTGCCAGTCGGGATGGGACTGTCCCAATCTGCAAAAGCAAGAGGGCATCTGGGGTCAGGAGAGAGGTAAAGAGACCAGAAACCAAAATGTGTGGAAATCCATGACCTTGAGCAAGGTGTGGAACCTCCCTGAGCCCCAGCCCCAGACTGAAGGCTGAGAGATCAAATGACTAAGAGATTGTTCAAGGCACTGCGGCTACTGCTGCTATCACATGCACGTGTGGGGTTGCAGGGAGCCAGGCAGGGGGGAGCAGGAAGATGGTGCTTCCCGGGAAGAAGGCGCTGAGGAAGGAGGTGCTGCTGGATGTGAAGAGCACCCTGAACGAGCAGGAATCTGCATCCCCATGCCACGTGCCTGGCCACACAAAAACCTGGCATCTGGCAAAGGCCCTGCTGCCCGCTTCAGTCCTCAGGGCCCCAGACAGGCAGGTAAACAGACACAGCCCTGTGGGGGAGGCCCAGACACTAGGGGAGAGGGGAGGCCTCTGGGAGCAGAAACCAAGCCCTGGGTCCAGCAGGGCCAAAATAACCTGCTGATTGAGTCAATGCACCAACACGTTGGTCAGCCCCGTGGGAGAGAAACCGAAACCCTGGCCAGATCTATTATTTAGCAGTTCGTCATCAAGCAAAAATAAAAATGATCCCCCTCTCCCCAACCCTAACCGCAGTGGTGGTGGGATGTTATTTGGCGTCAAAAGTCACCTCAGGTCAGTGCAAGCCGAGTCCCTTGCTTAGGATTTGAACTCCTATAGAGGTCTGGAAATGGGAACTCCCCATGTCAGGGGAGTACCATGTCTTCTCTAGATCCCCGAGCCCTGGGTTCTGGTCTGTAGTGTTCCACAGGTCCCTCCTCTAGTTAGGGGTGGTGGGAGGATGGGTGGAAGCCCAGGGGGTACACTGAGGAAACTGACCATACAGTCCCTGATACGAATTTGCTGTCTGCCTGGAAGCCCAGGCAATGGGGGATTCTGTTCCAGGGGCTGTGTGCTTGGGGGTCAGTGTACCCCTTCCCTTCCATGTCCCCCAGAGTGAGCTACAGAAAGCCTCCATTTAGAGTTCAAACACTAATTGGTTACAGCTCCCGGAGGCTTGGGGGAGGGGTGGGCTGCACCTCGAATGGTGCAGAGAATTACAAGTCCCCTTCACAGCCCTTGGGCTTGGCACAGGTTAAGTGTGCATAAACCAGGCGTCCGCCGCTTCGCTTTCCAGTTCACCGTTCCGTTCACCCAAGACTTGAACCAAAACTTTTGAAAAAAAACGTTCTGTGGAAGTAAACACGGGTACAGGAACACACAGAAGTGCAAAATGGCTCCAGAGAATTTTCCAAAAGTGAATGTTACCCAGGTAATAGCATCTGGGGCAGCAAATGGGACATGGCAACCCCAGGAGCCCCGTCCCTGCCCTGGGCATCTCTTTCCAACACTGTACTCTAATTGTTCCCAGAGGGTAACCCTGCCCTGACCCCCTGCACGTCGGATGGCTGAGTTCCGCCTGCCTTTGAACTCCGTGTGAGTGAGCACACAGGATGTCCTCTTTCCTGTCTGGCTTCTTTCATGTGACATCTTGTCTTAGATTCACCTGCGTGGTCATGCGGGCTTGTCATTTATTCTAATGACACTCCATCCACTGTACAGTAGAGGCCATTTCTAGGTGGAAACTACCATAAAAGTGAGACTAAGAACAGAACTTTTTTCCACAATTGAGTTCTACAGCCTTCTTTTTGAAAACATATTTTTCTTGGGGCAAAAATCTCTATACTAGGAACGTGCCATTCTGGCCATGTTCGAGTGGCATAATTCCATCGACACGGCTGCACAGCTACGCGCACTATTTCTAGAAGGTTTTGCTTTGCTCTGTTTAAATAGACTCGCTGTGTTCCAACTAAGCTGGCCTTGAACTCGCCAGGCAGCCTTGGACTGCGGAACTTCTTGCTCCCTAAGCCCAGGCTGTTTTCAGAGCCTGGCTTAGAGCAATTACCTTCCATTTCTCTGTGGCTTCGGTTCCACTTTCTATCTCTTCCAGGGTTCCTGTTCTTGGCACTCCTGGGAGTGGGATGAGCCCTTTGGTGACTGGCTGCTTAGCACAATCTCTTCAAGGCCCGTTTGTGTTGTGGTCAGAACTCATTCCTCCTCACCACCCCAGAATGCTTCTTGTATCCCGATACCACATTTTGTAGATCCCTTCGCAGACAGGTGCGCACGGGCGCTGTTCCCCTCTTCTGGCCGTGACGATGAACACAGCAGTGAAGACTGGCATCCAAGTGTCACCCACAGCCTTCTACGGGGGGCCACATGCTGAGCCGGGCACTTACACACCCGTCAGCCACCTGCCAGCTGCATGAAGCAGAGTCATCATCCCCAGGCTACCGATGAGGAGACTGAGCTTGGAGGCTCCTGGGGCTGAGCTAAGAGGCTGACGTCATGACTCTTGGAGCCCAGTCTAGCTTTCCATCCATCACCCTACTGCTCCTGTCTTGCAATTCTGCTCACCAAAGAAGTTAGATGATTTTCGGGGCTGGAGATTTAGCTCAGCGGCATAAGCGCCTGCCTTGCAAGCAGGCAGTCGTGAGTTTGATCACTGGTACCGATAAAAAAGGAAAAAGACAAAAAAAAAAAAAAAAAGAAGTTAGATGATTTTCGTTTATGACCTAGCTCTTGCTTTGGCTCCAGGTAGAAAATCTTTCCCTTGGACTTTCTGGAAGCTGTTTCCTCTCTCCTGGCAACCAGCCCAGGACCAGGGAACAAGAGCAGGTCCTCGCCCCCTGGACTGAGCCTTTACACTCCATGCGGTACTCTAGGTTTTTGTTGTTGTTAAAGCAACAACACCTCTGTTCTCCTCCTCTCCTGAGTGACCCAGGGTGTGATTTTTATTCAGGGACACAGAAGTGCGGGGTCCAGGGTGTCCCCTTTCTCTTCTCTGCCATATTAAATTCGAGCGAGAGGCTCCTCCTGCGTGTGCTGGGACGAGGGTGGCTTTGCCCTGTGACTGCTCCTGCTTCAGGGCATCCCTGTCTGGGCTCTGACAGAGCAGGCTGGACCCAGACAGGTGGAAGTGCAGGGATCAAGCCCATGGAGCCGGATCCCCAGGGTAGCAGAGACAGCGCAGGTTCTGGAGGGAGCCTGGTGCTCAGGGGACATCCCCAAGATCCCCCTGCCAAAGGACCTTGCCATTCGCCTTACAAGCATCTCCTGAGAGCCTGCAGTGGGCCAGGTCCTATGCTAGGCCGCAGGGAGGGAGACAGCGCCAGGACCAGCGCCCCCACCCCGAGCTGCTCAGGACTGAGGCAAAGAGCCCCGCGCACCGCACGGAGTAGGGACTTTGGGCTTCTCTTGGCGCGGCGGGGGAGGATGGGGGATGCAAGGCTTGGCCCGGGCGCCCGGCCAAGGGCCCCACCCCGTGCCGCCCCGGGCCCACAATGCGCCTTTCAGGAGCCTCTGCCGCGCCTGGAAAGCCCCGCGGTCGGTCCCAGGCGGTGGCGTCTGCTTTCCTCGAGGTGAGCGCTCCGTGTCCCAGCGGCCAGCGAGGTGCAGCCCTGAGTGCCCGCAGGCGCCGCCGCCCTGGCCTGGTGACTCAGCGCCCCGAGCGCCCTGGGGACATGGGTCCAGCAAAGCCCCGGCCTGGCAATCACATTTACAGCTTTCTGTTAGTTCTAGATGTTGCATAAATGCATAAATGGGTCACATCACGTGCTTTTACAAATTCATTGAATTTCCTTCCCTTTTTCCTGACTCCTCCACCTCCCAAGACTTGGTACCCTAAGAGCCTAGAATGGACTCCTTAGTGTGTACCTCCACCTTCTTATAGACAAGGGAACAGCACTTGCTGGATCCTGTTAGACCTTGTCCTGTGTCTCTTTTACTAATATCGCACAGGAAACGGTGTAGTTGTATAATCCGTGTATCCACCCAGGGGAGAGATAGCTCAGGCCTGTAAACTCCTGTACTATGGGAGGCTGAGGTATGAGTGTCACAGGGGCCAGTCCTGCCTGACCAGTCTCAAAATGTAAAAAGAAATTAAAAGGGCTGGGGATGTAGCTCAGTGGCCCAAAGTTGTGAGTTCGATCCCTGGAGCAATAGTGTCTCAGCAGAAATGGCCCTGCTGCTCCTGGAACACGGGCTCGCCAGTCCTGGCCAGAGGCCATTTCTAAGCTGCCCAAATTTTTATTTTCTTTTTTTGTCTTTTTGAGACAGGGTCTTGCTATGCAATTCAGGCTGGCCTTGAGCTCACTTTGTATCCCAGGCTGGTCTTGAACTTGCCACAATCCTGCTTCAGCCACCACACCCAGCTCTGCCCAAAATCTTCCTGCTGGCAGCACGCATTCTCAACTGCCCCCAAGACAGGGGACCACTGTGTTTCCCGATTTGAGCTATGAGCACTGGTGTGATAAAAATCTTACCCACAAGTTGGATTGTTGGGCCAGCGTGTTCCTGGATTTGATTTTAGTTCTTGCAGAGTGTTCAAGCAGAGGGTGTCATGCGCCCCATCCTGTCCCTGTCAACAATGAGTGAGGGTGCCCTTTCCCCCCAGCCCGGCATCCCTGAGGCACAGCCCTTAGTGATTTCTACCATCTGCTGAGACCCCCTCTCAGCCCCTCACCGCTGCTTTCATCTGCACTTCCCTGACCCCTGTGTGAACCTGAGCATATTTTCCTCTGCTCGGTGGCCACTGGCCTCTGCTGTTACGGGAGCTGCGTCCTCCTGGTACATGTTTATGTGCTTTAAGCATAGAAATTCCTGCGCACCCAGAACGCTAGGGAAGGAGGTGCTTGGAGTTAATGGAACGGTCTGGTTAATGGAGAGTCTCCTCATTTGTCACGCTCAGTTACCAGCTCTGTAAGGTGGAGCCGTCAGCAGATACCGGCGGTAACAGAACTGAGCAAGTATGAGAGGCGTGCAGAGCGTGAAAGTGAGTGGGCCTCGGGGTCACTTACTGGCTGTGTGCTTTGGGGTGAATCAGCTCACCCTCTGCGCTCTCCTCTGCTCATCTGTGGAACGCAGGTAATGGAGGTTGTGCCACTTACCTCTTCACGGCTATTGAAAAGTGTGGCAGTGATTTATGTAAAGAGCCTGGGACACAGTAGATGGGCACTGCATGGCACTCGGGAAGCATAAGTACCGCTCTCCTCTGGCGGCTGGCAGGGCTCTCGGAGGCCTAGGAGTGGCCTGAAAATCTCTCTATATATATATGTGCATGTATACACACACACAGTCTGAATGAAACTTGGATTATTATTTGTTTGCTGTGTGCCAGGGATCAGATGCAGAATTCAGTGTTTCACCACCTTGGCTCTGTTCACCTTTTGGACCAAAGCATTCATTGTGGTGAGGGCCCGTCTTGTGTTTTGTAGGGTGTTTGGTGTCACCCTAGATCTCTACCTATTGATAGCAGACAGCTAGATAGGCAGAAAGACACACATGTGTCCACACGCCCACACCCCACACTTGGGAAGATGTCCACTGCAAGGAGAAGGTGCCCCAGTTAAGAACCACTGCTACGTACCCACAGAAAGATACTTCCTGAAGGCTTACCTGTGACCCAGCACTCCCCTTATTTGGCCCCTCACAGCTCCCAGGGTTCCCAAACAGAGTCTACAGGGTGGGCAGGTCCAGCAGGGCCCAGCAGGAGGAGACAGGAGATGGGGATGACTTCCCTGGTGTCGGAGCCCCAGGGGTGCTCTCAGGAGGCCCCCTCAGGTGGGAGCTGCGGGTCTGCCCTTGACGGTCAGGCAGAGCGGATGCTGGCTGAGAGACACGGGGGAATCGGGGCCTGTTTTCCTCCTTTCCATGCCCAGCCTGGTCTCAGGTTCTCACAGGGGCCACATTCTATCTCTTAGCACTGGCTGGGGAGCCCGTGGATTCGTGCTCCCTCTGAACACGCACCTCCCCTCCTGCGTCCTCAGGGCTACCTCTTCATGCTCAGGCCCCACACGGCTCCTTACCTTTCCTTCCAGTGCCGTTCAACAAAGATTAGCAAGATCCGCTGGTTGCTTCCCAACGTCTGTCCTTCCTCCGTAACAGATCCCTGGACAACATGCCCAGCCACGAGAACCTGCCCTGCCCGGTCTCCCTTGCAGCTTGGTGTAGCCATTCAAAGTCCTGTGACTAAGTTTTTAGCTAATGAGACACAAGCAGAAGGGTGGCAGGGGATTTCTAGGAGGATTCCTGAAAAGGGTGGGAATTCTATGCCCTTTTGGTCCTTCGCTCATTTTTCTCGCTCACTTCCTGGAATTCAGATGCAGTGAGTGGAATTCCAGTAGCTATTTTGAGCCGGGAGGAGAATTTAAAGATGATAAACTGAAAGACAGAAGTATCCCAAGGGCCTAGAGCTGCTAAACTAGTCTCAGAGCCACAGACTGATAAGACTAATAAGTCTTCTACAGACTTAAACATTTGTGTGTTTAAGCCACCCTGGCTGGACCTTTTTTATTAGCAGACACAATTCCTGAGACAGGTTGCCTGCTGCTCCGGCCCACTCCCACACTTCTGTCTTTGCGGGTCACCAGTTCCCCTGGTTCTCTGGTGAATACTTGGAAGTCTTCACTAACGTATCATTCATTGCTTCTCCAGCCAGTCAGCCACCAAGCCCTGCGGAGTTTTTGACATGTACCTCTTTGCCTACCTGTCTTGTCCTCTACCTCATTCTCAGCATGGTACCAGGAGTGGAGCTGGGGAGGGTGGTCAGGATTCAGAGACTCGTGGAATTCTTGTCATCCAGCTCAGCAAGACACACCGCTAAGGGATGGCAGGCCTGGGGGTAAGAGTTACTTTATCAGTTAGGACTCTGGTTTACCTGGATACATAGTAAGCAGTCCCCATGGATCTGGAGGGCCAGTTACCTGGGGAGCTAAAGCTACGCGTACACACACCTGCATAGGTCAGACCTCTGTTTTCATCATCCATCCAGTTACATATTCCCTTTCATTACAGAAACACCAGGCTACAAAGAAAACCCTCAAGAGTTTGCTGTTGACTTGAGCCATGTCATTCGTAAGAATATGTCTGTGGTCAGCTCGAATCCCAGGCCTGCTAACTAGAAATAAACTGACCCCTTGTTCAAATTGCACAGGACCATTGAAGAAAGGGGAGGGGCGCAGCGGCAGGAGAAACGCCTGAGATCTTCCACAAACCGGGCAAACGGAATCACGGGCAGGGCAGCCCCAGGAGTCCAGGAATTAATAGCCCTGCTGAGGCTTCAGAGCTCCGGAGAGGCAGCTATTTAAAGCCAAGAAAGGTCATTTCCACCCGCAGAGGCTACCCTGGCTGCGTTATCTGGACCGTCTTCAGCCCCGTGTCCTGGCAGCCTCCCTGGCCTGACCTCCCTGTGGCGGAACCACGGGGCCCACGGCCAACCTGTCGTCATGCTCGTGGGAGGCGGGCTGACCTCAGCCTCTGGTTCCTCTCTTCCTCCTTGCTGCTCAGGCCCCAGGAGAGGCTGAGTGGTCACTTGGGCCCCCGCCCACCTTCTGCAAGAGCCGCTATGCTCCGAGGCTGCTGCTGCCCTCGGAGAGAGCCCACGCATCCAGCAGGGTGGGCTGAGGGCAGGGTGCAGGACCCAGGTTCTGGAGAGACAGAGACCCTTGCCCCACCAGAATCACACCCAGTCCTGCTGCATGACTTTGTTACTGGAATGCCCCTTGGGGGCATTCTTCTTTTTTGGTCTTTTTGAGAGAGGATCTTGCTATGCAGTTCAGCCTGGCCGTGAGCTCGCTTTGTAGCTTACGCTGGTCTCAAACTCATACTGATCTTCCTGCCTCAGCCTCCTGAGTGCTGGGATTATAGGCATGTGCCACCCCACCGGGCACTGGGAGCATTCTTTCCAGGTTCTTGGTGACCTGAATACAGCACTGGACGAGACACACAGAAAAGGTTGCAAAAGGGTACATGTGTTGACAGTGGAAAAGAAGCACGCTCTGTAGGGTAGGGTGGGCCTCACGGTGCCCTGGAGGATAAGGGAACAGGGGCTTCGTGTCCATCATTCTTGGGCTGGCTTCCTGCTAGATATAAATGAAGGACTGAAAATAACACTTTTCTCATTGTTCCTGATTCAGCACCAGATTCAGATGAGGACTGAAAACGTCACTTGCTGATGGGTTTTCACACAGTGCTCAGGAGCCGCGGGGTCCTTAGGGGCTTCTGTGTTCTGAGCATGCCTGCTGGGACATGTTTACCCTCCTGTTGGTTTGGTGCAGTTTTCCCCAGTCTCAGGCCCTTCGCTCACCCTCTCTGCCCACCCCACCTCCATTTCTTTAACAGCGGAGTAATGTCATTTTCTCCTAGCCTGAGTCTGGGGGAGGCCATGGGAGATCAGAGAAGGGGAAGTCTTTTGAACCTGTAGGAAGAAAAGCACTTTAGAAATCCAGGTATTACCTGCAACTCCTCCTCTTGCCCCTCCAGGCAAGGTAATCCAGAAACACTTCCCCTGGATGGGCAGAAGACAGGAAGCCGGTGTTTGAAGTGCCCCTGCGCTCCAGACTGTGACACAGACGTGCAGCCCCATGCTCCTGAGGGCCCAGCTCACATTCTTGCCTGGCACCCAAAGCAAGAGCTTCCTTACATCCTGTCTGCTCTGATCTTGCGCATCTGCTCCGGCTGAGGTTTCTGCTGCTTAGCGGGGCTGGCGAGAACTTGAAAGCCTCAGGCTTGTTCCAAGACCAGGTCTGCCCTGCAGGTGTCGAATGCCTGAGGATTGTTCTCGGCAGCTGAGACCTGGCCTGGAGAAAGCATGGTGGTGCTAAAGGAGTTTCTAAGGAAGTAGTGAAGTGCCTGGGGTCCCCGCCTGATGTGTCCAATTGTGCTGCTCATCTAACTCGCTGCTACCTCTCACGGAGTGGAAGGAAACTAAGACCTATTTTGCTGTTGTTGTTAAGGAAACAACCAAAGAAACAAAACCTTGCAGGTCTTTCTATCCTCCTGTAGCCTCTCCTCTTGTCATGTTTCGGAACTTGCTGGGAAGATGTATGTGCTCAAGGAGCAGCATGCGAGAAACCAGTAAAAAGAATTTTCCCATAGCCAAGGAATATAGAAAGCCTACGAGTTTACAGACACACTGCCGGAGAGGTGGGCGAATCCAAGAGCAGACCACGCCATTGGGGTGAAAGGCTCAGATTTTTATACTGGGTATTAATGTGAAAAGGGGGCCGGGAAAACTCACCCAGGAATGTTTTCTTCGGGTCATGGCGTTCTCCTGTCGCCTGTCTCAGTTCTAAGGCCAGCAGGTGTTGTTTTGAAGACTGGCACAATGTTTTTGGTCGACAGGGTCCAGTGACCTTGGTTTTGCTAACAACAACCCTTCCAGGTAAAATTAATTGACGAATGTGTAAGGACTGAGCAATGTTAGTGGTTAAGGGATCAGGTAAAATATACATGTTTGTATGGGAAAGGGACCTTTGACATTATGCACGTTAAAGGAAGAAACGGTGTTCTGTAAGACATAGCAAGGGGTGCGGTATCTAGCGACAGATACAGAGCACACAGTGTAGAAAGTTAATGTGACACTGGAGGCGTCAGTCAACCACAGTGTGGCCTCTAAAGAAACAATAGTGATTTCCAAGATGATATTATGTAATCTATTAACAGGTGATTTCTTACTGTTATGTTTATTTTTTTTTTTTGTAGTTCTGTATTATGTGTAACCTTACACTGCTTTGTCTTGTTTTGTGTTTTTCTCTTTTTCCTCTTAAATAAAAAAAAAAAAAAAAAAAAAAAAAAAAAGAAACAATAGTGAGATAACCGTGATTCCCCGCAGCATAGGCATTTCCCCTAGTTTGATTTTTTAAAATTAAGATATTCTAGATACAATCAAAGGTGTGTACTGGTCAGAATTGTTTAGATTATGCTACACAAACAATCCATTGTCTCAGGGGCTTAATAAATGTCTGCTCTTTCTCCTTGCTGCTTTTTTTTTTTTTTTGGAAACAAGGTTTCATGTGTAATCCAGCAAGGTCTTGAGCTCACTATATAACCTCAGATTTGCAGCTATCTTCCTGCCTCAGCCTCTTGAGTTCTGGGATGCCAGATGTGTGCCACGCTTCCTTGCTGCTTCTTGCTTCTGTTACGTGGTCCTCCATAAATGAGCAGGGTTCTGTCCTTCTCCAGTCACAATCAAGAGCAAGCGAGAGAACTGGATGGCCTCAAAAACACAATTCAACCCCAGCACTTAGGAGCTGAGGCAGAAGGATCACTGTGAGTTCGAGGCCAGCTTGAGCTCCAAAGTGAGCTCTGGCCAGCCTGAACTGCATAGTGAGAACTTGTCTAAAAAGACAAAACACAAAAAACAACAACTCATTAACCTGAACTAGTCACAGGCCCTTCCCAACCACACAGAACCAGAAAACACAATTATGTTATTGTGCTCAGTCAGAGAAGAAGGACCCACAAAGGCTTGGTGAGTAACAGTAACGGTGACCACAGAATAATTAGATCACAAACACCGTGTACCCCTACCAGGAAATGACTGTGCCCTGGGTACTCCTGACTCGGTCACACCTCTCTGCTTCCCCCACTGAGGTAACCAGTCTCTGGAAACTTGTTTTATCACTCCCAAAATTGCTCCATATTTTACCTTTTATTTCTCTGTGTTTGCAAAGGTTGATATAGTTTTGCATATATTTAAAAACCATACAAACTGGTGACACACTGCGTGGATTCACCTGCAAGTGTCCTGTTTAGTCTAGCGTGTGTTTCCTGAGAGCCATCCACGCCAATGAATGTGGCCGATTCTGTACTGTCAGAGTCCAGGGTCACAGAGGTGGCTTCCAGCTTTTTGTGATTGCATAAGAATATTGTCTTGTCTTATTGTCCATCTAGGAGAGATAAAGACTTAGGAGAGGGATAGAGGCCAAGTCCTTGGCTAACAAGTGCAAGGGCATGGGTTCTATCCCCAGCACCTCAAGATATAAGAAATCAGGGGAGTGGCTGTGTTTAGTCATTCTGCATCCACATTCTGCTTTCTCGTTTCACTTGGTTCTGTCTGTGAGTGTGGAGTATCTACCAAGAGTCAATGAATAAATCTGAAACAATTAATTCAATTCATAAACACTTATGACTGATTGCCTTCTATGCCAACACACAACTGAGGTCATGAAGCGAGGATGAACTCAGTCCCCACCCTCAATGAGCTTGCTGTCTGGTGGGAAAAACTCACAAGTTCACTCAGGACCCACCAGGACTGAGCAGGAAGCATAAAGAGGCAGATAAAAGTCACCCCACCACCCCACTATGCAAGGCGATCGCTACCTGCTCGTAAGCTTAGGCCCATAGAAGCCAGATACAGGGCAGAAGGACTGGCCTGAGCAGTAAGACCCTGTAATAAAGCCCCCTCTAGCCGTAGCTTGGGCAGCACTTTGGCCTAAGCTTGATGGCCCATCAGGCAGGGCCCACAGCAGTGTAGATTCTGGACTGGGGCAGCCAGGAGGCTCAGAGCAACAGTTGTCAAGACAGGGTGGGATGTCCGTGTAGAGGAGACGCACAGTCATAAGCTGTCAGTGATGGCAGTAATCATACCCAAGCGGCCCTGCAGGCAGGCAGGGGAGGAATCCAGTGTGCTCTTAGGCCCTGGGCCCGAGCCACCGGGTCGGAGGAACAGGCTGGAGGCAAGCCTGGGGAATGGAGAGTTCCATGTTAATGTTACCTGTGAGGAGCCACATGAAGTCACAGTTGGGTACACATGCTAAGATGGCCCTTGGCTGTAGTTTTGAGTATAGCTTAACTCAGAAAATCAATCCACAATAGCACTGAGTCCCAAGTCCCAGAAGCTATGATTTCATACTCTGGAAGGGATATGAAAACGTTTTCAAAAACCCATCTCATCAGAGTATCATTCATGTATCATAAAAATGCAGCTATTTGAAGAATCAGTTTGATGAGGTTCAATAAATGCATACGTTTGCATCAACTAGCACAGTGAAGCATGGGGACATCAACAGGAATATTTCTAGAACTCTCCGTGAGGTTGCAGGAGGCCACCCTCATTGCTGCAAGATGTGGGCGGGGAAGAAAGATAGTGGGCCACAAGAGGGAGCAGAGCCTAAATTGGAATCGATGTCACAGATTAGAGGGCTGTGGGCTGCAGCCGACAGTACCTTGAGAAATACATACTGTACCTGGTCCTGATGTAAATGTCCCAGGAGCTAGCGGCCTTCTGTCACCCACAGAGGGCTGGAGAGAGGCGGGCCAGGCTGGGGACAAGACTCACTTGTCCCAAAATACCTCACCGGCCTGAAATGTCACGATGAGTCACCCTTTGGGTTTAAAACATTTGGTATTCCCTCTGGAATAGCCGTGCTAAAATGTATACAGATGACTAAGAAACAACCTTTGAGGTGTGCGGAAAGCTGACATAGGCCTGTAGGGTTGGTTATCAGATTCTGCCACTGCAGGACAGGGGAGGCTGCTCCCAGACCAAACAGAAAACCCACAAAGCAGTTGCCAGGTGTCTTGCTGTCTCCTTTTTTCTACCGCTAACCGGGCGACAGAATGGTTTCCCTTCCCTGAGGACATTGCATTAGTAAGGGCTCAGTCCCTAAAGGTCTGTAGACTGAAGCTCACATCCCTTACTAGAAATTCAGGCTCTGAGATCCCTTCCACCCCCGAGATTGTCTCACATCTCATGAATTTCATGGCCGGCCCTTAATAGGACCCAAACCAACAACTATTATTGAACAGCTGCTTTGAACAGGGCACGATGGGGGGTGAGATGAAGAAGAAAGCACAGAAGCCATGGTCTCTGGCTTCCATCAGGCCGGCGGAGAGTAGAGATCCAGGCTGTGTCCGAAGTCACAGAAGGGACAGAACGCACAAGTGTTTAGAGCTCAGAAAGAAGAGCTCCTGCCAAGGATTTGAAGTGGTTTAGGGGTGCCGAGGAGGAGATGGGATGGGAACCGGGGCGTGAGAGATGCATTTAAAATTCGGTCTGGTGGGAAGAAAGGGGAGGGTGCTCGGAGGGGTGCGGCATGAGCAAAGGCGGGCAGCAGGAAGCGGCTTGGGAGCCAAGATGGCCAGAAGGCCGGGATATGAGTGTGAAGAGGGAATCAGTAAGAAGAGCTAAGGAGCCTGAGGCGGGCGACG